CTTCTGGGCCAACCTCACCATCTATCTATATTTCATTCGTGTTATTATTTCAATTTATCACGGACTGTTGGGCTCCATTCGAGGTTTTCTGTCGAATACCTGTAGCTCGCGGATTTTGCAGTATGAATTGGACATTGTTAGCAGGATATTCCACCGGATACATCGGCGATATGATTGAAAATGTCCGTCGTCAATCCTGCGCCTCTTAACCTACAGCTCGTCCAACATCTCTACCGATACAAGTGGCCGGTGTCTCACGTATGCCGTAACCCCGATCCCCGGGGATCTGTCTTGCTCATCGTGACAAGTGATGCGACCCTTCCCCTTCCACCATCCTGAACGCCGATCGTGCCCTCGTCGCCCACTCCTCTGCCGTCCCGGGGTCTCCGTAGAGCGTGAATACCTGGCTTCCATACAGCAGTACCTTGGCATACTCGACCGTCATCCTCTCAGCCGCAGCCCACTCGAGGATCTGCTCGAGCTCTGCTTTCGGTATTCGCGGTGGGTATTGGGTATGTTGTAGGCGAGCGAGAAGCTCGCAGATGGCTATTCGTCTTCGGTCGCTGGTCTCCGCTTGACTGGCCGGTATCGCACACGCTGGACACGCGCATAGGAAAAATCGCGTACGAGCGAGGAAGGCACGGCGCTCCATACGAGGGGCGGTTAGCGGCGTGTACGTGATAGTGATCTCCTCTCCCGGGGAAATATCTTGGGTGGCCCACAGCTGGCCCGTGAACGACTGCACGGAGAAGTAGTAGTTTGCTGATGGACGGCACGAGTGGTTGGCCCGCGAGAGCGTCGGGAAGAGGCCTGCGAAAGAGTCGTTTGGGTCAGGGTCAGGGTCTCCCGGTGGGTCGCCGTTCGAGATGCTGATCTCGAGGCAGTTGGTGTTGAGGATACCGGGGACAATGTCGAATTCGGATTGCGGATAGGCGCTACCCAGCTCAAAGAAGGTTCTTTTAGAGGCCGCGGACAGCCTCTGCAATGCCGCCCGGTAGAAGACACCATTGGCGTCGGTCTGGTCGGATGCACAGGTGAGTGTGCGGCGTGCGGCGTAGATGGGGCGTTCGGACCAGATGAGCTCGCCTCCTTTTATCGCGCGTCGTGCAATCATCCCCTTTCCCTTTCCTGGAACATCCTGGACGCTGAATGCGGCTTCTGGTGGTGAAGCGGGCGATTGAGACCATACGGGCCATCGGGCGACAGATCGTAGAGTGTCGAGGTAGTCGACGAAGACCATGTCGGCTTGTCCAGGGGGCAGGTATAGAAAGCACGGTGCGCCCTCGTATCTGGTGTCCCCGACGACAACCAACGGGTCCTCTGAGATGACACGCGTCGTATCCGCCGATCGTGGCACAAGGCGAGCTTCATCGGAGGAGTCAAATTGGCTGGTCAAATAGCGACCTGGCGTGATGTCGTAAGCTGGCCTGCTTCAAATTCGACCACAATTTCGCGCTGACCTCGTTCGCTGGCTCGTGCTTCCGTCATACACGGGATTGGGTATTGCAATCGCGGTCGAGGCACTGGCGGAGCGGAGAACAGAGCTGACACAAGCAGCTCGAGGTGCTCGGGGAGAAGAGGCGGCCTTTCGTGGGTCGCACGGCGACCGGCATCGGTGAAGGTTCATGTTTGGCTGGTCAGCATGAGCTCAAGCTCAGTGCTTCTCCAGGGCCCTGATAACGAACCCTTCCTTTCGGGCTGTTACAGATCTGGCAAATGGAGATGTCGTAACCGGCTTCAATCCAGCCTCTCCCCTGAAGAGCCGCGCCCCCGTAGCATATCCTGTCGGCGGTCCGGATAGCAACCTCTGCACGCGGGCAAGGAACGGCCATTCTCATGCCATTGTCGTGGGCTCGTCGTGAGGAGATTAGGTCCGAGGGAGGCCTGCTGCTATGTTCCATCAGGTTTAGGAATCCAGTTAGCCTGAGTATTGACCGAGCCGGGGAAGTGCCTTACGTTGAATCGTGGAACTGTTCTGGCCGACCTCCGTGATACCCATCGTGAGCGCCGTCGGCATCGACAAATTCATTTGCTAACCCCGCACTGCGATGCATGGCTGATAGAAGATGTCGTCACCTGGTATTTCTATGGATTGGGGGAAGCTTGACACACCAGTTCGCACCGGATACGATACGTATCTGTATTGATGACTACGGTGCCTGCGTAAGTATAGCGTCAATATGGTGTCCCATGAAGACTTCGTAGTGGTACCAGCGCACATATAGTGTTCATCGCTAGTGGGTGACAGCATCATGATCCACAATCTCGACTACGCATCTGCGAATCAGCACTCAAATTTGTCTTGAACTTGAACGCCCGCCGGTTGCAGAAAGCTTGCAGAGGATCTTTGTTGTCTGCGAAGCGTGGACAGGCGTAGACCCTAGTTACCACCTCGAAAGAGCAGATGAGCAACGCCTTTCGGCCTAGGCGGCAACGGTCCTCAAGGCGGGCCGACGCCGGCGGTCTCACACGGGATGAAATCCCAACTTTCGAAGGTCTCCGGAAACACTCGCGTGGTGGACGACCCGGAGATCTTAACGTCATGGCACTTCTCCGTTCTGGTCATGCTTATCCCTTCATTGTCATAACAAATACGTGCGACCGTGAGGTCGCCGACGTGGATAGCGACAGCTCGAGTCATAAAGGGCCTAGACTGGGCCCCGGAAGTTGTCAGAAGGAGATCAAAACAGCCTCGGTCGAGCGCAAGTCAATCCCCTCGCTCAGCGACACATGCTCGAGAACCAGCCGGCCTGCAGGATGCGCATCCGGCGTCTCGAAGCTCTGCCCGGCCCACGTCAGATTCGCAGTGTCGTCCGCGTGGTCGATGATGATCCTCCGCGCGACCGCGCTGCCCCTGTGCCAGAACGCATCGATGTCCGCTGTCGCGCCCTGAGCGAAGTCAAGGTCGATATGCACCGAGGGACGATCCCCGGTGCTGCTGAGGAGCCAGGCGTTAAGGTTGATGAAGGCGGCGCGAACGAGCTTGCCGTGCTCGAATGCGGCATAGCCAGAGACGTTCGGGTCGTCTACGGAGAGCTCAACGATCTGCGACGTTTTCGTGCTGCCGATGAATGTGTTGATCAGAAGACCGGCGTAGTAGCTCGGCTGCACGTGGGGAGGCGACGGAGGGTCGAGCGGGGAGCCGTCGACGGTCGAGCGGTTCAGTGTGATTGGTTGAATCTGCGGAAGGCGTCAATGACGCTCCCATATGGTCATAGAAGAGTGGATGATGCCTACGAAGTTGTACTTGTATCCAACACCTTCGTGGAAGTACGCTTCTTTGATTCCAAGTGTAGCTGCTTGGAGGGTATAGTCGATCGCCCAAAGCGCAGCGCCAGCTGTGTTGCTCACACCGGGCGCACCATGGCATGCGATACTATTGGTCTCGCTATAGGGGTGACAAGTATCGATGTGAGTATGTTCCGAAAGAAGTCAGACGTTGATCATGACGTACCCCAAAATATACAGAAGACCCTTGGCTTGGGTCGCGGCGATGTCCGCTTCGAACACAGTCAAGTTGCTCCTCACATTCGCTTTGCTCATGAACGAGATCAGCGGGAAGTCACCGCCATTGCAAAACGCCGCCGAGTAACGATGTTGCGAGATGCTACACAATTCAAAAGACGAAGATCAGCATATACGATCGTCCATGCGGTGCATAAAACCAGCTGACACTGAGATAGCCTTTCCTGGCGCGCTGTCAAGGATGCCGAGGTCGAAGATCTCTCGAGGTGTGAATCCCTGGCCCGCAAAGGCAGCACCTTGCAACGTAACAGGTCCGCCTCGTCCTTCGATCCCTGCCGCTTCTGCGACCGGACCCGCGACGGAGATCCAGTCTGGGACGTATTGTTCCACGGTCCAGTTGCTTGGGCGGAGGCCGTTGTTCTTGTACAGGTCTGCCTCGTTGCCGATTTCTATGCGTTCGAGGACGACACCCGAAGCCTGGACGGACCAAGAGCGGAACGCGCCCACGATCGCTTTCGCCATGTTAACCGCGTTCGTGACGTTGTCGGCGCCGAGGTTGACACCCCAGGTCATGCGTGTACCGCGCGGAAGGAAACGCGAGAGAGCATAGTAGGCATTGCCGACAGTAATGCTCGTCGCCTCGGGGTACGGAGTGACGGTATTGGGAGGCGGGAAGGAGGCCTCCTCGATTGTAACAGTAGGCGACCAGAAGGTGTGGTCCTCCGAATTAGCGCCCACGCGGATGTTCGGGGGCTGCCCAGTGAGCACGGCGTAGTTCAGAAGTGCGTTGTGTGTGAACTCATTGCGCGACCAAGTGCCAGTCCAGTCGGGCCAGCGGTCTTGTTCAATGGAGAACGAGAGGAGAGTTGGGAATAGGCCTTGAGAGTTCCCCGGAGCCGAGATGGGCAGAGACACGTTGATGGCTGAGACAGTGCAACCTGAGACATACAGGGCGAGTGCAGCGGACAGCAAACGGTAGTGAGCGCGACCCATGATGGCAGGAGGAGGTCAAGAGCCCAGAGCGAGACGAGACGAGCAGCGGCGGGATTAAATACTTCGCAGGGGAGGGTTCGCCGCGCGAGTAGTAGTCATATGCTTTGATGAATGTTGGGCAGCACGGCGAGGTAGCCACGGGAGACGTCATGGCCGAGACAGCTGGCAAGCGGCAAAGTGCATCAAGAAAAGAAAAACGAGTGTGCAAGACAGGCGGAGGTCGGTCGCAGTGCATCCCGTGCAAGGTCCCTCTGGTTCGAGAAATGAGTCCTGCATTCAGAATGGAGAAAGTCGCCGAAGATCAGTCGCTCTAGGCCCGTAGTCCAACAGAAATAGGGCATACACATGCGTTCGCGTTCGCCAGGGTGCCTGTAGAGAAGCCCCGACGAACTGTGAGCAGGATGGGAGTGTGGTCATGGTGGTTGTCAGTTGACCTCTGCGCCCGACCAGTCCATCAGAACCGCCAAACTTGAACCGCTGCCCACACTCGCGGATGACAAGGTGTTGCTGGATATGTCTTTTATTGGGCATCCGCTGTGCAACCTCCGATAGCTCAGTTGGAAGAGCGCAAGACTGTAATGGGTTATCCGCACTTCATCTTGAGGCCGCTAGTTCGATCCTGGCTCGGAGGATTTTTTGCTCTCAGTCCCATCTGTCGGGCGCTCTGCGTTCGGGAGACTGGAGTGAACACGACCGTCCGGTCACGACCTTGAGTTCTGTCAGCATCCTCCTCGAGCCCGACTCCTTGTCTCTATCCTACGGTGCATGCGTTCAGAGTCAGGAAGACTCGAGGTCTTTGCTGACATACATTCAGAACGCCCTGGCATAACCTCATGCTAAGAGCTGATGTACAGTCGACGTCGACAACTTGCCGTCATAAGATCCTGCTATGGTAAGCCGAATTGACTGTCATACGTGTTGATACAATCTTGTTACGCATTGCGGAACAATACGCTGGCCCGTATCCTGGGCATCATAAGCTATAACAGGTTATTGTGTTGTCACCACGGCCAAGTTCGCCTGCCCGTGAGTATCGACGGGTCAGCTAGTATGGCACTCCGTACTGAGACGCTGGGAATCGGCAAGGGGAGAATATCAAAGAATAAGGTGCGCGAGAAGCTCCTCTCGGGCCCGCGCCCATCTCCAGGCGGATCCGAGAGGTGCTTCTCTCTGTCTGTGCTCCGACGAAGTACTCACGTGAGGTGGAAGCTCACATCGGTCCTACTTGACGATCTGGGACTCCAATTCACTCGAGTCTCCCACCGTATGGTCTTTGGACGGAGAATACTGCGATTGGGATAGAAGGTTTCAGTGCGTACGAAAGAGGCGGGAGGTGTGTGACATCCGGGTCGGACGAAGCTCCTGTCGGAGAAGCCCTCTCCAAACCAAATCGACAGTATAAGTATTGCCCGCAACAAGATGATATCCCCTCAGAGCCTCCAACTCCTCTACTGAACGGAAAGCATATCGACAACGCACTTCCGCACTTCGTCACCAACTATACACACAATGCCCGGCCTTACCAACCTCCCGCCTTTCCCAGAGGACGTGCCGACCCACCCACTCCTTGTCGTCGACTACGAACTCCTGAAGATCCGCGACAAGGACGAGATTGCGAAGCTCTGGAAAGCCGCTACAGAGCTCGGGTTCTGGTAGTAAGTGGACGTCCGTCTAGCGCCTTGTATATCAAGCGACTGACCGGTTCGCCGTTGAAGCCTGAAGAATCACGGCGCCGACGAGGAAGTGAACAAGATGTTCGACATGGGGGCCGAGACTATGGCTTTACCCTTTGATGAGAAAATGAAGTTCGAGCAAGGCGACGGTGGCATTTCCTTCGGGTAAGCCCCAACGACCAGCCCTCTTCGTATTCCAAGGTAGTGATTTATACGTGTTCTCTTGAAGATACAAGGCTCCCGGAGCGACCGTGATCGACGAAACTGGGGCCCTCGACACCGTTGAGTTCATGAACATAGCCAAGGACGACGCACTCGCGTGGCCCACTATTGCGCGACGCACCTATCCTTCGACGGTTATTGCGCGGATGGAGGATGCCGTTGTGCCCTTCATTCGCAAGTCGGTTGAGGTCAACGATACACTTCTCGAGATATTCAACGAGCTGCTGGTGCTCCCGGCGGGCACACTTGCGGAGAAGCACAAGTTGGCGGAGTTCAGCGGGAGCGAGGCGCGGGTGATTAAGAACCCACCGCGCCCTGGTGGCATCGACGAGGCCAAGGCGGCACTCGCTTCGCACACTGACTTCGGATCCTTGGTGAGTCGGTCGGACGTGTAGCATCAACTGTCGATTGACGCCGCGAACTGCAGTCGTTCCTCCATAACAGGCTCGGCGGCCTACAGGTCATGGTCCCGGGGACGAGTAGTTGGCAGTACATCAAGGTTGGTCTCGGAACCACGAACTTGAGCGTGACTTCCTATACTCACGTGAGACTGGCGCAGCCTCTCCCGGGCCACGCAATCTGCAACCTGGGCGACGCGATGACCATCTTCAGCGGCGGGTTGCTCAAGTCTAACCTGCACCGTGTCGTGTAAGCTTCTACCTGTACCGATGATCATCCTATCTATCACTGACGCACTCTGTCTTCTCAGTCCTGCTCCGGGAGAGCAAGCGCACCACATCCGTTGGTCCCTCGTCTACTTTACACGCCCAGGCGACTCCGTCCTGCTACGCGCGCTGACGGATGAAAGCACCATCGTGGCACAGGCGGTTGAGAAGGCGCCGGAACACCTGCGCCAGATCTTCGAGTCTGGACAGACGTCGAACCAGTGGTTCACGCGCCGCGTGAAGAATATGCGTACGAACAACCAGAAGGTTCGTCCGCTTGACTCAGTCTTCTCCCGAATGAATTGTTCATGATCAGCATCGTCGCTTGTGATATCTAGGGCGTCGACGTTTGGCGTGCGAGCCGCGGTACGGAGCATCAGCCTTTGGCCGCTTGAAGTCCCCGCGAGTAAGGCTCCCTCACCGCTTGTATATGTTGCAAACACTCCTATACGCTTTGGCAGTTGTACTTCCGAACGTCGGTACATCATCGAACCTAACGCGACTTGCATTGCACATCACAGCCGTCTATCCGTATATTATGAGTAAGTTAGGGCTTCATACTATAGCTAGTACACGCCTTGGCTCTGCAGAACCACACGGGGCCCTCTATCCCAATGACCCATCGCGCAACGTTCCGAAGCACCTTTGGTCTCCGCGAATTCTGCCGTTCCATTCTTCAGCTGCGAGGTTCGACAAGAGCAATGAGAAAATCATTGAGGTGTTGCACTCTACAGGCTCTGCCCGATGCATCGCGTTTCGTTTGCATGGGAATAGTCCTGTATCCAACTGCGTAGCAGGTAGTGCGGAAGCCTGATTGTTCCAACAGTGCAACCTCGGGGCTCATCTGAGCAAAAGGAGCCATCCAGAACTTGGTCTCGTGCCCGAGCATGCATGCCAAATAGGCTTGTGCTATGGGGCGCCTGGGCAAATGGAAGTTACCTGTCATATCAGCAAAATCCTTCTGTAGGTGTAAGTTCTGTCGCCTAGATCCGACTCGGTATCCACGCCTACTAGAGATTATCAGCACTGACAACGGTCCCTACAGCCCGACTGAAGAGCTCCTTGGGGCCCGAGGACAAAGTTCTGCGTATGACCTTACTCCTGTGTCAGGTAGCACGTTAGGACCAACATTTCCCACTGGTGCTTGTAAGATTCGCAAGAGATCCCGGAGAAGCTATGCAGACTAAGAAGTGCCACGAACGAAAGAGGCGTGTAGATGATATCACTGCACTTGCGCTCCATCAAAGAAGCAGCCCACGGACAGGGAGGCTTGAGTGGCGGATGCGTTCTGCCCTCGCCCAAACGGGGGCACGCGAGGCCATACACGTTCCAGCACAGAACGCGCGAGAACAGAAGCTGCGGCCGGACGCTCACCGCGTAAGGCCAACGTTGCCCACCATCAGTCCCACGCTTGCAGATGACCCCATCCCTACGCTATTTCTTATCCTAACCAGGCGCAAGCCCGCAGTCAGCCTGGGATCATATATAAGCTCTGTCAGTTGTGCGGCGGGAGAGACCCGGAACCTCTGCTTCACACCCTAGCACCTGTACGCGAACGCCGTATACTGCTATACTCAAGTAAAGCATGCCTGGATTGCATAACTTGCCGCCCTTCCCGGATGACGTCCCCACGCACCCGCTCCTTGTGGTCGATTTCGAGCTCATTAAGAAGCATGACCAGGCTGAGATTGACAAGCTGTGGAAAGCTGCTACCGAGCTCGGGTTCTGGTAGTACGTACCTGCTGCTATAGGATATGATTGCACGCACCTCATCCCGATATCGTTAATACTCCAGCTTGAAAAACCACGGTGCGGAGAAGGAGGCAGACGAGATGTTCGAGATGGGAGCAGAGACGATGAAACTCCCGCTCGAAGAGAAGATGCGATATGAGCAGGGAGACGAAGGCATGTCGTTCGGGTACGCCACGCGTGTCTCCTTACCTGGATCTCAGACTCACCATATCGCTCGCATCTCAGGTACAAAGCGGCGGGGGCGAACGCGACAGATGAGACGGGCGCGCTCGATACCGTCGAGTTCATCAACGTCGCAAAAGACGATGCTCTGGCTTGGCCGAACAAAGTCCATCGCGAGTACCCCTCGACGGTCAATGCTCGGATGGAGAACACCATCAAGCCCTTCGTGCAAAAGTCGCTCGATGTGAACTACACCTTACTCGAAGTCCTCGGGGAGAAGCTGGGGCTGCCCAAAGACGCGCTCAAGCAAGTGCACCTACTCGAGGAGCCGAGTGGGAGCGAGACGAGGGTCATCAAGAACCCCCCTCGCCCTGAGGGGATGCCAGAGGACAGGGCAGCTCTCGGAGCGCACACGGACTTTGGATCTCTGGTAGGTATTGAGCCTTATATGCGATTGCATGCGATGCGCTGACGTAGGTCTTGAAGTCATTCTTGCATAACCGTCTCGGTGGATTGCAGGTGATGGTCCCGGGGACGGAGGAGTGGCAGTACGTCAGGGTATGTACAGATGACATCAAAACCACGAAGGGGATGCTTACTGCCTGGCAAACAGCCCATTCCTGGACATGCGATCTGCAACCTCGGGGATGCTATGACGATCTTCAGCGGAGGCATCCTGCGTTCGAACCTCCACCGTGTAGTGTGAGTTCCACGCCTCGGGGATACAGCATATATCTGACGATTCACGGATTGGCTGTGCTGCTTGTGTAGGCCTCCGCCGAAAGAGCAAGGCAAATACGAGCGTTGGTCTCTTGTCTTTTTCACACGTCCCGGCAACTCGGTCGTCCTGCGCCCCCTCGCCGACCAGAGTCCCATCATCGCTGAGGCGGTCGCCAAAGCGCCCGCAGGCAAGTACGAGACGGGTCAGACGTCGAAGGACTGGTTCGCAAGGCGTATCAAGTACCAGCGAATCAAGAATAGGACGGTACGTACTTTGAATCATTTGTACGTACCAGGACTCATCTGGCGTTGACGTCGTGGCGGTAGGGTCCGGAGTCTTGGAGGGCTAGTAGGGGAACGGAGCACAAACCGTCCGCGTACTGATTCTTAGGCTGAGTCAGCTCAATATCTTCAGTGGTTCCTTCAGTGTACCTGGCT